AAAAGAAAGAAAAGAAGGGAAAGGAAAGGAGGGAAAGAAAGAGGGCAAAGAGAGGGGGGGAGGGGGGAGGCTCCCCCACCCCATCCCCAATCAAGCCTCTGCCAACCCCTGCGGATCCCTCACTTACCCCAAGAGGTGGTGGGGAGCGTCTTCTGGCCTCCTGGGGTCGCAGTGCTCCAGCGTGGGCCCCAGGGATCCACCGACGGGCCTCCATGGGGCCGCAGCGCTCCAGCGCGGGCCCCAGAAAACCAGCAACAGGCCTCCCTGGGGTCGCAGCGCTCCGGCGCGGGCCCTGGAAAACCAGCAACGGACCGCAGAAGAGCTGGGGGCGGGGCTTGCTGCCAGTGCCATTTGTGCCAGCTCCTGGGCTCCCGGAGCAGTGCTCCGGCACGCTCCGGCCTCAAAAGACCCCTGGTTGTGTGGATAAAGAAGAAGAGATTGGATTTATACCCCGCTCTTCACTTGGACTCTCAGAGTGGCGTACAAACTCCTTTCCCTTCCCCTCCCCACAACAGACACCCTGTGAGGTAGGTGGGGCTGAGAGAGTTCTTTCAGGAACAGTCCTTGAGAGAACAGCTCTGCCAGAACTATGGCTTGCCCAAGGTCATCCAGCAAGTGGAGGAGTGGGGAATCAAACCCGGTTCTCCCAGATTGGAGTCCACACACTTAACCATTACACCAAACTGGCAAAGCACTTTGGGTCCCCACTGGGGAGAAAGGCAGGGTATAAATGAAGTAAAATTTAAAAAATGTTATGTGCCACCTTGGTCTCTCTGTGGGAGGCAGGTTCCCAAATTTACATGAAATGGGAGCCCACACTTTGCCCTGTGTCCTGCCCCACAGGTTTATTTTTTTAAGCGTGGAAAGTAATCGTCTTAAGCAGGGGTCTTGTTGTAGAAAAAGAGCTGCCGGAGCTCATTAGCATAACTCATTAGCATAACTTATTTGCATATGCCACGCCCCCTGACATCACCGGAAGTGACAGAAGGCCACACCCCCTGACATTACCGGAAGTGTGTCAGAAGGCCCGGCTACTTACCCTCCTGCTTCATCCTCATTCCCAAACGGAATGAGGATCGAAGCAGAGGGCGGGGTAAAGAAGGGGGCGGGGCTTCACCACGTGACCGCCCCGCCCCCTAGAGGTTCTCTTCCGGAGCTCCGTACCTGAGAGCTCCCCCCCGACTAGAGCCCTGGTCTTAAGCAATACTAACTCCACTGCAGTATCTTTTGTTTTGCTTTAGGGAAAAAGTTAAGTTGTCACCAGTTTGCAAGCACAAACGGAGCCTGTTACCATGCTTCTTGTAAAGTACTGGGTTCGACACATGGAAGACTCGGACCACAATGTGCGTTAGACGCGTTTATTGTACTTCACACAGGAATTGCAAAATAGCCGTGCAAGGCCAACTATATACACACCCACCCAGCACACCCACAGTCCTGTTGGAGGGTTTGAATTTCCTGCCAAAGTTGCTATTGGTGAATGCTGGGGGAACTATGATCCTAGACTTCTATTGTTTGGAGGAGCCAAGCTCCCTACTGTAGCTGCGGACCCCTGGTGGCGGTCCGCATACATAATACTTCTCTCAGTTCCTTACAGCTGGCACACAGTTAAAGGTTTCTGGGACTAGGAAGCCCTGAATCAAATTCCAAATGCAGGCACCTGAGTGATCTGTTTCCTCCCCAGTTTAGAATCCTAGTTGGTAGAGAGGAAACAAACTCCAGTTTGTCCAGGCACCTGCATTCAGATGTCACAGCAAATTGGAGCTTGATCCCAATCTGCATACAAAGGGAAGGGGAAAGAGCAAGGGTAGCTCAGGAACGTAGCAACAAGCAATGTTCCTACTTCTGAAATCAAGCAGGGACTTGGCTCAGTGAAGAACCAACTGTTCATTCTTGTCTACCAGGAACCAAGTGCGAACAGCACTTTCCTGCACCTCTACTAAGCATCGAAAAACCCATTCTAGTCCCCCTACCTCTTTTTTTATTCATGTATTCCCCCCCACCAAGCCCCTTTAAAGTCAGCCTTCCCCTGGAAAAACTGATATTGTTGATGATATGAAGTAATTTGGAGCAGGGGTGGAAGCATTGTGGGAAGCCATTGGAGGGAGGGGAGGAACTGGGAATGGGGTAGACAATTGATAGAATGAAATGTTTTATATGTTGTATTCCTGAGAAAATAAAAAATTTGTTTACCAAAAAAAAAAATAAAGTCAGCCTTCCCTTCACATGAGGTGGCCTCATTTTCTTTAAAAAGTGACATCAGCCATCTGTGAATGGAAAGAATGCTGAGCTGGAAACAAAAGAACAAGGAAATTAATTGCACATGCTAGGAAAGGGTCCTGCTGTCTCGGTGCCAGCGACAGCCTGAGAGATGATATTCTCACAGATTGGATTGAGCTATACTGTTTCTGGCTGTGATTTGTCCATTCCATTATTGTGGAAGTCAGCAGTTTTATAGGCATGATACAAATTTAAAACTCCCCTGCCCCCCTGCCGTCGCAACCACGGTTCTCGAGGTAGCAACTGCAATAGAATTGCTCGCTAAGGGTCTGGGGTCAAAAGCCTTTGTCATCCATCAATACCATGGCCACTGTCTGTCCCCACTTCAGAATGTGGGTGATTTGGGCAGTCAGTACACTGGCCATGAACTCCCAGCTCTTGGTCCTCCACAGTCTTTCTCAGCCTAGCCTGTTTCCCAGGGTTGTTGCTTTTCACAGAATCATAGAGTTGGAAGGGACCTCCAGGGTCATCTAGTCCAACCTCTTGCACAATGCAGGAAATTCACAAATACCTCCCCCCAGCACACCCCCAGTGACCCCTGCTCCACATCCAGAAGATTGCAAAAAAACCCCAAAACTCCAGGATCTCTGGCCAAACCAGCCTGGAGAAAAATTGCTTCCTGACCCCAAAAGTGGCAATCAG